GCAGGAAGAGGCGGAGAGGCTTCCTGCCGGGAACGCGCGCGTGCGCAGGAAAGAGCGGGGGAGCTAAGACTTTTGGGGCTTCCTAAAAAAAAAATAAAAATAAAATAAATAAATCCGTTTTTACGTGTATCCCCTTACAGCAGCACGGCAAGGGGTGGGTGATCAAAACGAAACACCTCCCATCGGGGCCCGACAGGGGCCTACAAGAAAGCAGGGGCAGGACTTGTCATCAGGGAGCGTGGATGCAGAGTAACAGTTTAAAACCGAAAAAGAGGATTTAGATGAGATATTAGGAAGAGATTCTTTACTATGAGGGCAGTGACATACTGGAACAGGCTGCCTAGGGAAGATGTGAATGCCCCCCTCCCTGGAAGTGTTCAAGGCCGGGTTGGACCAGGCTTTGAGCAACCTGGTCTGGTGGGAGGTGTCCCTGTTCATGGCAGAGGGTTGGACCAAATGATCTTTAGTGGCCCTTCCAACACAAAACATTCCGTAGAATCATTTGATTGGAAAAGACCTTTAAGGTCACTGAGTCCAACCATAACCAGTCACAATTCTATGAACAAGAAATGAATTGATGTTGCAGCACATACAGTGGCAACAGCTCCTCAGACCCCATGAAGTCAGACTGGTCCAGACATTAAAACTTCATGTTTTAAATTACTTAAAACAGTTATTTAGCACTGGTACCTGTACTACAATAAATTAACAAGTTTTAACTAAGAAAGGAGACAATGTTTGGTTTTGTCCTCCAGTACCAACTCCCTCTGGTTTTGAATTATTTAAATACAGAGTCATCTGTAAACTAATGAATCGCAAAGATGGTAGACTTTAAATTAAGATTACTCATGTCCAGCTGAAGTATAGGTGGAGTATAGTATATAGTATAGTATAACCTAAGTTACTATTCTTAAAAAAAGACCATTAAGTCTTTTAAATGTTCAATGAAATTAACACATTCTTATTTAACATACACAAGGTGAATTAGACTCAGGAAAGCTTAGAAAACATGGTAACAGAAGAGATTGTCTTTTTATTTTAGAAAAAGGAGACAAAACTGGAGGTGTGCACAACAGAAGTAGTAGTTAAGGTTGATTCAAGTGTGGTTAACAGAACTATTTCAGCAGACAGAAAGGACACAAAACTTGGCATTTCTGCTTAAATCCCAACACATACTGGTAAAATTAACATTTTACAGAACATTATAAAATTATAGAAAGTTTAAAGTTATAAATCAAGACAATATAAAACATCTTGTATCTTTTAATCATAGAGTAACATTTCCAACTTTTCTTGCAAATTTGAAGATCTATACATAGAAGAAATGAAAAAAGAGTTGAAGTAAAATAGCACCAGTCTTCTGTAGTATGGAAATGGATAGCTTGACACTTTCTCCCCTGTCCCCCACCATTCTAAAATCAATTTTAATGTTGTAAAATTGAGCACTTCAAGCTTAGAGAAATCACAACTGAGAAACTGCTTAACGGCTGGTCTAATTAAAAAAATGCAACATTTTAGTGTCTGGAAGCTTGTCAAACAGCAAAGTTCACACTCCAAAGTTCCCTCTCCTGAACAGCACAATCTCATCACTGCTTCTCCTTGTACAAGATACTATCAGGAAGCATCTGTAGTTTTTTCCCTGGACTGCACCCAAGTTGCACAGAATTCACATTCTTGAATGAGAAGTCTTCAAATGTCACACACCTGCCCCCAAACACATGCACAAACACAACTTTAAAGCCATCACTGTTTCCTTCTACCTAAAAAAATGTAGAAGATGTGATAATATTAACTACTCTTTTGATGTTTTGTTAACAGTTATGTACTTCTCCTGATGTATTCATACACTAATGCGTTATCTTTATTAAAATTATGCTGAACCTCTATAGTGGAAAGCGTTTAAAATGCTCATCAATACAGATACAATTTGACTGACTTTTAACCCATTATTTGAGACCTTTGCACAGCTCCCTGGATACTGATACTACCACTAACTCTTACATGTTTTCTTCTAACAACCAATCTTGGAAAACTTCCTTTGGGTTATCATATCACACTGAGACAGAAGGGACCCTTTTTTACTACCCTCTTTTGGCAAGAAGGAAGTGAAAGAACAGAAGAAAAATGTCTCAAGTTGGAAAAAATAAAAATCAAGAATGATTGGACAACAGTGAGAGAGAAGACCTAAACAGGATTCACCACTTGTTAACAAAAATCAACATATAGCATCTTCCGTAAAGTTTAACGACATCTCAAATTACTGTTCACTAATAATCACAGTCACTATTTTACGTACTTTTCAATACTTAGTCAAGTACAAAGCCCATAGTAAGTACAAAAAAAAAATCATCTGAAATCACAGAAACTGTGCCTGTTTACACTTTGGGACAATGTGTCCCAGTTTCTTATGGCTTTTTACCTTGAAGTATTTGAAGAGGGAAAGAGCCATAGAGAAGTAATATAAACTGTGGAATATGCACAACCACCTAGAGTAATACTGTTCCTACAGTACCTCATGCAGACAACTTTTCCATAAACTCAATGGTATGTTTAATCATAAGGCAAATGGACACTGGAGGCCACTAAAAGGCTCATTTGTGTATTTCCCTTTATGAAGTTAAAGTCCAATTTCATTTAAGTGCTATAAAAGTAATCCTAACATGTAACATTAAGAACTGTATTTTTAAAAAGCTTTTGTTATTGATGCTTGTTTGTCTAACAATCTGTTTACAGAATTTATATTTTTATGCTGAAAGTAGATTTTAAAAAAAAAATTATTTACAGAGAGACACTGTTTTCTACAAGTTTTACCAGAGTTGACTAAGCTGGTGCTTCAACAGAACTGTAGTCTGTTACTTAGTATAGCGGCCAGTTTTCATAACCCTTAAAACAGCAGAACTCCCAAGGCAGATTTGTCAGGAAGCTGTAAACAAATAGTTTTTCAAGACTTATTGGCAATACACAAAGTGATCTTTAGTCCTTCAGGATTAAAATTTCTCTGCCAAATTGGAATTTTGGAAACTGTGGAGTCTACTTCCAAATTAATACTCTGGAGCAGTTTGGAAACTTGTCTCTGAGGAAGAGTCAAAATCCATTTCCAACCCAGACTCATCAGAATTTGGAAGAAAATTAGGGTAGGAGTTTAAGTCTGAATGCTCCTGCTTGTTAGCAGGAACATTTTTCATAGCTGAGTGCATGAAGCATGAAGATTCCCAGAGCCAGGTCTCAAGGTCCGCAGAAGAGTGAGGCATTTTAAGGTGGCAATATGAAGAATGAAGTTCCATAGTAGATGGGACAGTCTGACATTTTCTTAGTGATGCAAAATTGTCTTTCCTGGTTGGAAAAAAAAAAAAAAAGGAAAACATTACTAGTGTTCTGATGACGTCTCGATCACTGCTCATATGTCTGACAGGGAATCTTCATGTAAGGAAGAACACTAGAGGAAAATAATAAAATCTAAATGCATTTAGTGAATTAGGATATGGGGTAACAGGAAATGATCTTGAAGCAATCATATCTAAAAAAGCGGCACTCTACCTTTATGTGTTGTCCTCAGAAGTAAGTGTAAAAATAAAGTCACACCATTCTGATGGGCTCAGAAGGGTAGACCCAGTTTGTACACTACCTCTTAAGTAGTCCTGACCTCCCCAAAGCTATCCACTTGGAATATTTGCTGATTTACCAGTCACAGCAGAGACATTAACTGAACATTAACAAGAATAGCCTCAACATTTACAAGCTGAGTGGCAAATATAGTTGTTTAACTTCCCCAAATGCCATCTCTGCACTCCATTTTACAACTAGCTAATTATCAGCAACCCAAACAGCTGGAACAGAACTTTCCTACACTCTAAAGCAGCACATGAATCATCAGGTTAATCTTTTCCAATTTGAGAAACAGGAAACTGAAGTTGTCATCCTTTTTTTTTTCTTTAAAGCTCTCCCTCCTCTCTTGCAGTGCTTTTAGGAAAAAAAACAAACAAACCAAAATGACCCACAGCGCCCCTTCTCACACACGAAATAACCCCAACTTACCATATACCCACTTCAACACCAGTTTCCATACCTGAAGTTTAGGTGCACTAGAAGATACCATCCATCAGGTTAAGTTTCCTAAAAGGATTTTCAAACCATAAACAGTGCAAATTTTCATGAGATTTAAGTTTGATTCCAAAATCAGAAGCTAGATCTGATGACGTAAGAGGAAGAGCGAAAAAAAAAAAAGGCATGGGGGGATTACTTTCTGTGAAAGCAGCAGTAAGTTCTTGGTGGATGCTGAAACAAAGGACAAGCCCATAAAAAGTCACCTGTAGAATACACACAGAGCCTTGGGATTCAGCTACCTGAAGAGGGAATCCACTCAAAAGGAAGACTTCAGAAAACTTCTAAGTTTGACAGTGCAAACAGTTTGGTGGGAGCTGATTGCCTTGAAGTTATCATAAAAGCATACAGCAAAAGCCACATGTCCACTATGTTCCATTTTATGGTCAGAAGCCTGCTCTTTCCACAAGAAGAGAAACAATGTTCTGGTTAATCATGACTCAATGACCAAATAACCCATCTGAGAAGTTAGATCCAAGACAGCCTTGTGATACTGAGCTTTTCAAATGCCTATTCCAGATGAAGAGTCTCACGATTGGTAAGGCAACAGATGAGCAACATCAAGAAGCTGCTAAGTAAGGTCAAAAGTAGGAAGATGACTGTGCCCAAACTTATTGTGGAAAGGAGTCAGAAATATCATTAATAAAAGAAGAAGAAAAAAAAAAAGAAAGACACTGGATTACATGTGGTATCCAATAACTGAAGATACAACAGTAGGATGATAGCAAATATATACCAAGAACTACATTTCTGCTCAGAGAAATGGCTTCAAAAGCCAACTAGTTTTATATAAGAAAAGGCTTTAATTGATTTCAGAAAGGGAGAAGAGAGGCTATTTGTATACAGGAATTAAATGCTTCTGAAATTCTGGATAAAACTGATTATTTTAAGAGGAAAATATTTTTACAACCTGATATTAAGGCCACCATTTAATACTTCCAAAGGGGGAAGAAAACCCAAGTCTTCCCTTAAGCCAGAACCTTTAACAGCAAGTTTGACTGCTCAGTACATCTAAGGGATGGAGCACATGAACCAGGTCTTTCATGATGCTAATCCAGAACCTGGCAAAGCTTCTCATAAGAAAGTAGGATCAGGCAGTTCTTCTCAGCCATATCAAACCTGCATTTCTGATGGGTCAGTGTACAGCATCACCAGGGCAAAAAAGAGCATCTTTGATCTTCCTCCTTAACTAACTCATTACTAAAAACAGGAAGACAGATGCTCAAAAACTCTTGATTCAAATAAAAGGCTATTTTTTGTTCTATTTTAACAATGCGGTGTATATAGAACATGGCAATGCTTTAATTGAAATAACTGCTGCAGTTAGGAGACTCTAGTGCTACAGCTATTTCTTGTAACCCTTTATGAAGCGTTTAAGAATTCTGTTCAAGCCTAATGGCTTTTCAGGCTCATTTTTTCCCCCCTTCTTCTATCTCCTACCCAGGAACTCCAGAAGCTGAGACAATAATTAGAAAAATTACAGTAAAATAGATACAACTTACTCTGCTGAAGTCTGGATTTATGCTTTTTCAGACCAAATCTTAGGAGACTTCATATTTATAAGCATTTGGCCCCCAGAGAGAGCCTGTGTTTCTCTACTTATAGCACTACTCTGTCATGGCTGGGCAACTCTGTTCCAGCAACAAGTCCATTTTTTAGCAGAAAAATTTAAGTTGAATATTGGTCATATTAGTTTTGTGAGCTTGCAGAGCACCTTGGGAAAATATGACACTCCCCAGCAAAAAGTGAAACAGTAATCGCATTCTTAGATTCATTCCGGGTGAGTTGTCACTGATTCCTCCATACACAGAGTGCTACCAAAGGCTGAAGTAAAAAGTCTGAAAGGTTAAATCTCAAACCAGCTCAGCACGAGGCATAATGAACCTAGTTACAACCATGTTAGAGCAGAGGTTTCTCTTTCATGGAAATACAGGTTCCTAAAAATTTTCTGTATGGGTCTTATTTTAATTCTTCCTAACTATCATACAAGACTGTCGTTCATATTAATGTATTTTAACTCTTACAACCTTTCCTGTCCAGACGCTCAAGAATCTGGTCTTTCTCCCAATGTTTTCCTGTTCCTATCCGCTACATCTGGTTTAGAATATCTTGAACAGCTTCTCAGCTTCTTTTCTTCCCAATTGCTCAAGCTACTGCAGAGCAGGAAGGTCTCCGTTCTCAGTCAAATACTTGCTTCATAAGCCACCCCTTTCCCCAAAAAGCACAGGCCTACCAACAGGCAACATCTCTTCATCTATAATATGTAGCAGTCATTGACCAGTTTTGTAAACAAGAAGCACCAGAAATCATACTTAAGAAAGAAAGCTAAGGATTAGAAGCAGTGAGAACCGTTTTGTGTTACCTTTGAAAAAAGTCATTAAATCCTGTTTTAAAAGAAAAACTTATTAGTACTTGAAACTCTTAACAAAAGAGAGGAAAGTTCTAAGAAATGCATCATTTGCATGCAGCAGTGCTTCACTTTACCTCGATGTACAGAATAGCTTGCTTTTAGCCTGGGAATAAACTGTACCAGCAATCCGACAAAGCTGTTCTTGCATCCATCGAACATCAGCAGGCATGTCAGGAAACCAGTTTACTAACCTACAGTCAAAAAACAAAATACACTTCTTGTTTTGTAAGCAGTTGATTCAACCTGCTTACAAATTCTTATTAATTATTCTTACATATAACATCCAACAAAGTAACACAGCTTCCATTCTCCCCAAGTTAACTCCCCAACCAAAGTCTCCAGGTCTTCCTAACCTCTAAATTTCCATCTGGTCTACTCATTGCTTTTCTACAAGCTAAGAAAAAGGGGAGCACAAATCACTGCACCAATGATTTATGCTGACCAGCTGACCAGTATGGGCATTCTATACCTCGTGACCAACATTTAGGAAGACTGCAAAAAAATTCCTGTCTCTGGGACCTCTTTCTGTGTGGTGGGAACTTTTGGGTCAGTTTAAAGTTAAGTAGGAGAGGAAGGAAGAACAGAAGAAAAACACAATGCAAAAACAAACAGATGGCAGAAACAGAGTGATGTCACAATTTTATTTTTTTTTCCCTTATGACACTCTTAACAGAAATCAGTTACATTGGAGGGGGACAAGGGGTAAAACCCACATTAAAGTTCTGTTGAAACTTGCTTCCTCCCCATCCACCAAAAAATGGCACAGAAGCACCACACTAAGTGGCACAGAAACAAAATATTTTACTGGAGTTCCATGTGGTTCCATTTATAGAACATTTGATTTTTCAAGTATTTTCTAGAGATAGTAATGACACCTGCTGTTCAAGGACTGGAATTCTCTTAAGCAAGCACAAAGCTTAGGGTTCGTGGTGCATTCATTTAACATGATTTCTCCTTTACAAGAATTGAAAAACTTACAAAATTAAGCCCTCTTTTAAGAGCATGACCTAAACAAACCTGGTGAGAAAATTTATATGCTGAGTAAACACTGGATTTCACTCCTGAATTCAGAGAGAAGTTAAAGCACAAGAACTATCTAGATAGAACTCAAATACCACAGCAGAATATAGCAATAAAGAATGTGTTCCTGGAAAACACAATTAAGGAGGCTTCTTTCGAGCAATTACGAGCCAGCTACTAGCAGTAAGAGTAAGTAATTTAGGAATCTTCTTAATATGTTTATTTATCGACCCTTAGACTATAAAAGTTTTAGAAGGATGAATTATGTAGGTAGAAATAATGGTGTCTGGACAGTTACCACTTGTATTCTAGTGTACCAGAATGCCCAAAAGCATCTCAACGCTGAATAAGCTCTCAATAAGTACATTTCCAAAAGTACAGTAATCCTAAAATAGTTCATTAAAAGGTCCTTACCGTAAAGCAACAGAGTAAGCAGACTCCACTGGTAGCGTATATGGTAGCATCAGATAGGATATCACCCGCATTGGGAAGAGTTTAGAGAACTGAGCATAGAATCCACTCTGTTCTTTACAAGCTTCCTGCAGTGCTTAAGTTTTTTTTGGAAAAGATGTTAGATTGTTTGAAAACAGGTTAAATAATTTGCTCAAAATTAGATAATCTTCAATCAACATTATCTGAGCCTTATTCAGTAACACTTTATAGAAAATTAAAGAATTAATCTTAAGGCACTCTCACCATAAACCTCCTTTATGCTATTTTAAAATATGGGAAACAGACTCATATCACAGGGGCAAAGAAGTTCTACCCAGAACTTCTAAGCAATAAGTCTAAGAATTAATTCATAATATAAGGATGTAAAAATTTTTGGAGAGGTGAATTTTATGTATTTTAGATAACATTCTTGTCTTGTTAGAGACTCTAAGGGGTTTAAGTTCTACAGTACAGTATATCCCAGTTGCTACATATAGTTGTAAGAAATATCACACTTCAAATTTTGTCCTCCTAGGTCACTGAGATCACAAATTTCAGATTTTGAAAACAGCCATCAGCTTCCACAGGAAAAACCTAGGTAAAAGCTATAGATTAAAGAAATAATGGAAGTGGTTTTGGCCTATTAACAGCTTATTAAAAAAAAAAACAGAAAAGCCAGAGAACTAGAAGTCTACAGAAGCCTGTTTTAAAAATATGATGGGGATTATCAGTGTTTGGATTTGAGTTTCAACTTTGGAGTGAAATATATGCTTACAAAAACACTGTGCACATACAAAGTTTATCCAAAACCAATAATTCAATTCATGACTGAAGTGTTAAAGAACTTTTTTGGGTTAAGCAAGTCTCTAATTTCACAGGCAGTTATAAGATTAAAAAGAAAACATCTTATGCATATTATAAGCAGGGGAAAAAAGAAATCAAAGTTTCCCATTCAAAGCTACAGGAAACAGTCTGAATAACGTACCTTTGCGAAGTCTAGGAGGTAGACTCTCAAATATGCTGTTCTCCAAAGGCCATGGATTTTGCTTCAGCTGGTCATTAAGTACTTCCATTTTCAAGCTTTCTACTCTGTTATTTTCCGTCAATTCTTTCCTTTTCATATGGTCAAGGTGTTGCACAGCCTCATGAGGATTTCTTCTTGTGAAGGACAAGTGGATATAAATTGAGTCATTCAGAATACCTGAAAGAGTCAAGAGCTTCTGCTTAGGCTTGATCCATGGGTCTTCAGAGTCCCTGTACAATACCTGTAGTCTGTGTATCTGTACAAAGGCCTATCCGGAGGGAACATTATCTACCCAGTAACAAATACACTTGCTCTTATAATCCCACAAATGTTTAATCACAATGATGAATACTCCTTTGCAGGTTTAGGTCTTAGTTTAAAACAGGTTCTAAAGAAAAGGAAAAAGTGAACTATTAACTGATGCTGCACTGGAAACATACAGTCATTTATGAGAGTCAGCCATAAAACAAATTAAAGGAGAGGAGGAAAACTGATTTAATATTTATTTGAAAGAAAACACCTAAAACACATCAGACATTTGAGAAACTTGATATGGCAGTTATCACATGAGTACTTTGAGACATTGCTACAACAGGATGGAGAAGGAAAGCGAGTAGGGTACAATACTGTTGTGAGATATATCCAAAGTACAGGTCTAAATCAATAGTGGTTGCCTTGCAAAACTGGTGCCAATCAAGAAATAGCATTGATATTTATCTCAGAAACGAGCACTAGATCACGACCATGAAGTGAAAAATACAAGAAGGGTATTTATACTCAGTTTCTAGAAAATAGTTTTAAAGTTATTTATGTATAAAGACTACCAAATTTGACCAAGATTGAAACGTACATACAACAAAATCTGTATCCTACTTACAATTACTCCTAAAACACAAATGTCAAAAGAATATATAGTGAATATAGCAAAAAAGCTATCTGAAATGTTACAGGTGGGGGGGAAATTAACTCCTAAAGTTGAAATAGCATAACAAGATAGGGCATGCATAATGAATGAAGGTTGTAATTATCACTGACTAAGCTTGAAGCAAGACAAACCTGTGACAGAGTGAGAACAAAGGTGATCACAGGATCAGTAGTGTAAGAATGGAAGACAATAGTGCAAGACACAGAGGATGTGGGAGACAGACACCAAGGAAGAGCTGCAAGGGATCTCAGATATTAGTGTCAGTTGGAAATATGCACATCAGAAACTTGTGGGTGCAGTACAGCAACAGAACCCATCTTAGCACAGACAGCCACAAATTAGAGGCTCTTCATATAGCTTGTGCTTTTAATCACCTGGTAAAAGGTACAAAGCAGGACTCTCTCATTAAATATTTAATATTATTACTAGAAAATCAAACTCTTAAGCAGAACATTGACTTTAACAGTGAAGAAAATTGTTTCAAGAGAACTTGAATATATAACGCTTAGCTATAACAGAGTATAAGCCTTGAGCACATCAAGCTATGACGGCATTACAGTACTGCAGCTGGTACTATCTGTAATACTGTAGACATCACATTTCAGTTTCAATTGCTCTAATCCAACTCAGTACCAATTTGCTTCTGCATCCAAAGACTACGGGGCTAGGCATATTTAACATGATTAATTTCAAGCTTATATCAAGTTACTGTCTTTAACTTGTTTGTCTCAATGTGTGTAGAGCAGTAGCATTTATTAATAAAATATTTCACTAGAATTCTAGGAGTAGAGCAGAACATCTTTCAATTCTTCTTCATTTACTTATCTGGGTCCCAACAACTGCTACGAGTCACTTTCTTCTAAAGTCTTTTATGATACAGACTAAGGATTTGTCTCTGAGTTTATATTATTATTAGCCAGCTCCCAGTTCTAAACTATAAGGTTTTACCCAGAAATTCACTTGGATGATAGCAGATAGGAGCTGTTAAAAAGATACAGGTTTCACAGGAGTGGGAAAAAATAGCCTATTCCTATCCTTCCCAACTAACACAAAAGAAACTAATACGATCACCCTAGAATTGGAATTCTTGGGTAATTTCACTTAACAATACCTTAACGTTCACTTCACATGTATTTGACAAAAACCCAAAAGTTCAATTTCTTGTGGCGCAACTTACTTCAGGTGAATAGTTACTAAAAAAGAGGAAGACCACATTATCAATAGTTATCCACAAGTGTAACATACCGTTCTCTTTCAAGAATTTAAGAGCATCTGAATATCCTTGCTCACAGATCTCTCCTAGTACCTGCAAGCATAGAGTAAATGAGTCAGACTAATAAAAGGATATTCAAATTAAGATAAACAGTTTGCAGAATGAAAAGCCACTGCCATCCACCCTCCATTCATGTAAGAGAAATCTACATTAACAATTGCTATAATTCAGCAGGTTCAGGTTCATATGCCTAATGCAATGACGCAGTACATGAACTTCTCTTTCCACTATTACAGACACACTGAATTATTCACCCAAAAGGATAGCATTCTACCACTTGCAAGAATTTCCTCCCCTTCTGATTCTTTGACTAGCCTTTCAGCAGATATAAGCAACAATGAAACAGGGTGGCTTGAAGTACACCAATTCCCTCCTTCCCTCCCAGTGTTTCCCACTTCCCAGAACTGTAAAGAGTCAGCTGTGCAATTCTCATGTTCAAACTCAGGCTATCTTCCATATAAAAGTATCTTTCACCAGATGCAACATCAGCTCACCTACACAGAAGTCCTAGACAAAAAAAAATTAAAAAATTAAAGCCTACATAAGTGGAATTTAACATTTCTTCAAGTGGTCAAAAAGTCCTCAATTTAAAAAAATATAACCGTAGTAATCAGGAAGATTACTTCTCTTCTGTAGTAAATCCCAAGCCAATTGGCAAAGTATGCTTTCATTTTTTCAACTCTCACAACAGTAATTCAAGAGCCTTTCCCTCATCAGATCTGCAATTAATAGCACTTAAAGCTAAAAGGCAGCTTGCCTTGAGAACTTTACACAACCATGAAGCTTTAGAACTTCTAAGTTCTCAAACACCTGGCTAGCAGGTAAAACAGGAAAGGACTACAGACTGACAGTTATTAATTTACCAATGTTGATTTTATATTAGAATCCTGTGCTAATTCCCAAATACTGAAAGCCAATAGCAGGACTTGCATTTTTAGCTGAGAGAGACTAAAACTAAGGAGAATAAATACAAACTATGAAAAAAATAGAAAAAAGGAAGGCAAATGTCACCAGAAAAGTTTATATGACTAGATGAAATGCTAAGATTAACGTAGCCTTCTGCAAAAGCAAGGCTTTTATATGGAAAGACATTTTAGTAAGTACAGGAAGGCAGTAAGTTACCTTAGGTTCTGGTGGAAA